GACGCGCCGGCGCGGCGAGCGGGCGACTAACAAGCCTGCGGACAAGCCGGGCCCAGGCCAGCGCTTGCCGTCGGCAACCACGCGCAAAGCTTATTTTGTCAGCGGCATTCGCCCGTCACCTTTCAGCCGTCAAAGTGTTGAATTCCCTTCCAAACCAAGCAGTTAAGATGAAATGAAGTCTCGCAAGAGGGCCAAAGAAGAGGAGGAGACCCTATGCGACGCAATCGCAAATTTGTGACGAGCGTTCTGTTCAAGATGTTTTAGGGGTGCATTTTATAACTTCAAAGTCATTCTTCTTGAACAGTTTAGTTTTACAGCAAGTCACAGGGAATGTTGTTTAAAATTAATTCATAGACTTCTGTAAACAGTTAAAAACAGTTAAAACCCCACTTGGGTCTGGCTAAGGAGGTCAAGGAGAAGAGGGGCCCCTGCCCCCGGCTTAGGGAAGGAGACAAGCAGTGGAGGTGGTAGGAAAATCCTGGGGGCTTGAGGGGTCGTGAGCAGCGGCTGCTTGGCGATTCTCCCTCTGGAGGGAAACGGACAAGCTCTAACGTTGGACAGCAGAGGTTACCGTGTCCCTCTTTCCTATCAGCCACCCAGAGGTCTTTTCCTCTGTCCACTAAGAGGGGGTGAAAGAATGGGGAAATAAAGTTGAATGATGGCTGCTGTTAAGGGGCGTCTGTGGTGTTTTGACATTTAGTTAATTAGGCAATAAAAGGAATAAGGAAGGCCTAGGAATGATAAAGTTTACACCGTAAGGAGGAAAGCTATTTAATCGATGTGGATATTGATGCCTGGTTGACCTTATAAAAACCTGTAAAGAGTTCAAGATGACCTGCTCTAACAAGGAGCTCAACTTTTATGGGAGAAACCCCAAGTGCTGATTCTGAGGGCCCCGGAGACAGAATCACCCCGCCGGTGTGCCGGTGACTCCACCTCCTGGGCACTGGCAAGCACGTGCCGGGCGACGGCCTACCTGAACCGCGGCCACCGCTTTTAAGACGTAAAGAAATCCTTTTGGGAACTAGATCTGCATGAACCAAACTGTGACAGGAGAGCCTTGTAATGCCTTGAATTCTAAACGAGTGCATATTCAGGAAGGCCACACTTACAGTTAAAGAATAGACGGCGGGCTCCATGTTGTCCAGGTCCCTTTCCAAGGGAGAAAACTTCTGATACATGGGACAGTTCTTGTCCCACAGAACTGGGGGTTTCAAAACATAGCCACAGCCGCCGTTGGCCTCAAACATGGCAGCGTTTAAATGTAAAGGGAGATCTGCAAAATAAAGTCAGTATTGCCTGTTACTTTGTTGCTTATAAATGCAAAGTTCAAAAGAACTTTGTATCGATTTCCCCTAAGCTTAAGCATGAAGAAGAGTTGACCATCCATTCATTCCACAGACTGACTGAATGGCTACTATGTGCCAGGTTGTGTTAAGCAGCAGAGATACAACAGGTAACAAGACCAAGATCCCTGTCTATGGGATAAGCCCAGTGTTCTCACTCCAACCCAGGTTCTGCCACTTAAAAACTCCTTTTGCAAATCAAAATTTACAACATCCATCCAAAAGAATCTTTGCAATACCTCACTTTATACTGAATTTTAGTAAGGAATAGCAATGGTATTTTCTTATCCCCAAATGCCAAACCATGCAGATAACTATATGACCAATTCTTTCTTTTGCAAATATAAGATAAAATCTTAATAATCCAAGAAAGACTGGGAGAAGAGCCAGAAAAATATATCTTTCCATGAAATCTCAATTTCAACCCATAAATTACAGTACTTCTACCTCTTTTTAATTGTAGTTAAATACGAAAAAAATTATCATCACATGTGATTCACATCATGTCCATGATCCATCCCCTCCATTGTAAACTCTGGGAACCCTCACAATGGCTTCCAGTCTTTTGTGGCCAGATTTTATTTGGCACAGTTCTTCGATGAACGATTGGATTCCTACATTGTTTTGGGTTCTTACACACTCAAAATGCTCATCTGATGGCGCAAGTCTGCATAAAGGTTGCCCAAATGAACAGAGTTTATGAGACACACCTGACAAATGTTCCCTCTGATAGATTCCTTCCATGTGCAGAGCGAACTCTGCTACATGGACCGACATCAAGGAAAACTGTGGTGAGCAGAATGGAGCAATAAGAAGTTGGCCTCCACACGTCTCGTGTGTAAAATTTTTCCGTGTACGTGGAGTTGGCTGGGACTGTGTACAAGAATCCTTGGGGTAAGATGTCTTGGACAGATGAAAGCTACTTGGGCTTGGTCTCCTTATCTATAAAATCAGTGCACTGGACCCCACCTCTTCGGCCTGTCCAGTCCTGATGTGACTGATTCATTGAGGCCAACTGTCCTGCCTGCAGTCAAGACAGAATTCTCTTCCCAGGCCACTCTGCGACAGAGGAACATACACCTGGCCTAGGGCTGCTGACAGAGTGAAGCAGCCCAGCTCATGCAGAGCTGAATGTGAAATGGATACACAGTACTACAAATCATAGCGGTTCACACCACGCTCCTACTGTGCCCCAGGCCCCATTCCACACACTTTAAGTACATCAGTGCTTCCCAATAACCCATGAGGCATTCTCATTTTTATAGATGAGAAAACTGAGGCACAAGTGAAAGAACCCTAGAAACACAGTTACTCAGTGGTGGATGCTGGGGTTCAAACCCCGGCAGCCCAACCCAAATCTTAACAACCGAGCCATAAAATGTACATCTCACAGGAGTGCCATCAATGAGAGATTGTGTGGAAGTCCCTACCCCGGCATTTGGCACATAGAAGGTCTCAATGAACAGTGGCTGTTAAAGCATGACGTCAACACTCATTTGGGTTTGAAGTCTGACTCCATGAGGCCAGGGTCTATCCTTATAGCTTTCTCAAATCTTAAAGTACTTTTTCTTTACTGCAATCTCATTTAGTAATCGAATGGGTAAACCTTATCCAGGTGGAGCTGCTCAGTCTGGAATAAAGGTGGGACCTCAAATCTAGCCCTCCGACTGTCCCCTAGGCATGGCTCCAGAACATCATCTGGGGCTACAGTTTAAAACCTTTGTGGTAACCAAGTGAAGGAGGGTGCACGAATCCGTGTCACCCAATCACCCTCTCAGTCAGTGCCTGTGATGGTAGATCAGGCCTTATCATTACCTCTGTGGTCTTGTATTTATTTAAAAACCCTGTCTGAGGTAGACACCATTCCCGTAATAATTATGCCTCTATTACGGGGCTAGAACAGTCAGCGAAAAGAGTTTGGCAATCATTCAAGAAAAGCATGATAAATATTAATAGAAGCTTTTCTTTTGATTTGGGCTGCATGTCTATATACTTGCAGGTCCTGGTTACACGAGGCAGAAATTGTTCTGCCCCAGATGGAAAGAATGTTAAGGGACTGCTGCCAGCAGTCACCAGGGTTTGCATACCAGGCTCAAGTGAGTTTCCAAACTCAAGAGTTGGTTTTATTGAGTGTAGACCTGGGCTATTCCTGGTTCCAGATCACTGCAGACTTTCTTGGAGTTGATGGAGCCATTAGAAATCCTGGGAAGAAATGACCCTAAGTCCACAGACATTCCTTTGGGGCATCAGGGTCCCCTGAAACTCGGGAAGTGGTAAGGAAGAGGACCCATGGAACACAGCTGGAGACCAGAGGGACCCTGGGAGAGGGTGCTCTCTTACTTGGCTGGGATGTTCCATGGAAAATCAAGCCCTCCCTAACCTAGGAATTCTTTGTAAAAATTAAAAAATAATGATTCCAATGTTGACTCTTATCTGTCTATTTGGATTTGCAATTCACAGGAAAGTACCTAGAAGAGATTTGGATCAAAAATCAAGGACCACAGGCTCAGAGTGCTGTGGGGCTGAGAGGAACAGTCAGTTTCAGCTCAGCATGCATTTACCGAGCACCTACTATGTGCACGGTATCGACCAGGCTCTATCCCCAGTTTGCGCAAATGAAGTCCAGTTTTACAGATGAAAATGCTGAAACTGAGTGTCGCTTGTGCTTTGCCCAGCGCGGGGAGACATTTAATCATTGCTCGTGGCACTGAATTGAGACAGGTGTCATGGCAGCGCTCTCTCCTGGTTGGAAGATAATGTAGAGAAACTTGAGGATGAACTGTCCACACAGCCATGTCTCCCCTGAGTAGGCAGCTTGAACATGGGCTCCCAGCTTCATCTGGGAGAGAGGCAGAGCCTTCAGGGGTGAGGGAAGGCCAAGCTCCCGGACTGCGGGGCGGCCCCAGGAGCCAGTGCGTCTGCACCAGCCTCAGCACGTCAGGAGAGAGGGCACATCCAAAACCAAACGCATTTCCATTTCCTCGAGAAAACCATCTTGCAAGTTATTTCAGTTTACTTAAAATATTTCAGTATCATAATAACCAAGGGCGCCAGTGGACACAGGCCTTCAGACAGGGTCAGAGATGTGGGCCCACAAGCCACCAGGGACAGATTGAAAAGAAATTTTTACAACTTTGAAATATTTCAGTATTGTTTCCATTTGCGAGTCCAAATCCTACTGTTTTCATAACTTATCAAAAACACTTAATCATCGTTAACGTTTGTGGAACGCTTTCTCGGTGCCAGGCACTGTGCTAAGCATGGCACTTCACCTGCATCGTGTTATTTAATTTCAATCAAAAGAGGCAAATAAAGTCTGCAGGGTCAGCCACAAATGGGCGCTGCTGGCACCAGTAGCAGGCGCCTCGCTGGTTTCGGAGCGAAAGGTGTGTCTTGACCTTGGCTGGAGACAGGGCTGTGCTGTGGTGGGCGGGTCAGCACAGTCAGTCAGGATCTGGTTCAGGTCACGTGAGAGGAATGAGGACGTTTAGCTGAACAAAGGAAAGACCGTGGGCTCTGAAGGTGCTTCGAGGAAACATGCCTCTTAGACTTTATTTTCTGCAGCTCCCCTCCTGCCCCCATAACCAAGTGGAAACACGATATTTTATGCTCTAAACCCCCAGAGCCCTTGAATTCAGGACTATAAGTCATTCTGTGACTTGGAGCAGATCAATTGCTCTGTGCCTCGGTTTGCTCATCTGGGGAGTGGGGACCAAAAAGGTGCTCACCACTCAGGGTTGTTGCAAAGATGAAACGAGACAGGAGGGGTCAAGGAAAATTCAGCACAGTGCCTGGCGCACAGTGAGAGCGCACCACATGGTAGCTTTTGTTCCGGATGTTCAGGCCTCACGTTACTCCTGTTACGAGAGTTTTATCAACAGTGGGGAAACACAAAGGCTACTTCCTCCGGCCACACACTTGTTTCCTCCATGTTAGCTACTCGTAGAGCAATGACCACGATTCTCCATTTCAATTGCAAAGGGATGAGAAACTAAAATAGTCTTAACTTGCAATTCGCGTAGGGCAACAACTGCTTTTTGACTGCAGAGTCACTTAATAAGACAGCTTACTAAGGGGCGTTGGGAACTCTCTGCCCCAAAAGGTCTTTAGAAACAAATGAGACACAGCCCTAAAGAATGTCTTGTTTAAAGACACACATGAGCAGCCTTATGATTAGAAAGTGCTTTAAAAGGGGGGCAAGAACAGGAGACTATTAGTAGGGACCCCTTTTAGGTTCTTGTCTATCGCCTTAACTCTGAAACATCAAGGGCACAATTCAGCATCAAATTCACCTGCGTTCTGACTCTTACATATGGTGTGCCCCGGTCTGGAATCTTGCCCCTTTAAAAAATGTGTTTGTTGAACTAGGTTTACTGAAACATAAGACGCAAAGGAGGGAGGTGAGGAGGCGCCCTCGGTGCAGCGGGCCCATTACCATCTGTCTGGTAGTTGAGTGCCACCAGCTGTATCCCATGCAGCCAGAACATGAGGGGGTTGGGGTTGGAGGAGTCGATGCGGGTGGCAGCCGGGTAAGTCCTCAGCAGCTGGCAGGCGGTGTGCTGGATCAATTTCTGAGAATACCTGCGACACAGACGTTTGGCGGCATTTTCATTCAGCGATGAGATATGGTAACATTTGGGAGTTCTAATGATAGCGCTGAGGGATGTGGTTGGGCTGAGGGGGGAAGAAGATTCCTCCCACGCCTGTCGAATTCCTTCATAGGAACCTAAACCCCCCAAAAGATTAGCCTCAGATTAGTGCAGAAAACTTTAAATGTTTTAGAAAGATAAACCTGAACAACATCCCAGTACACAATTATAACTACGTAACACATCAGAATGGATCTTAACAGTGTTACCTAGTGTTACACTATCAAGTTACGCTCTATAGTGTTATACTAGAATAGTGTTACTTGTGAGTTAGTCCACCACCTTGAAACAAAGCGATAGCTGTTGAGTTTTAAAATGAGTGTAGAAACACCAATTTAAGTTAAAAGCCTAGAAGTCCTTTACCTTAGTACCTCACCTGTCCTGTGGATATATCTGAACAATACATGACAATAAATGTATAAGGGTGTTCATGCTAGCATTTCATATATGAAACAAAAACCTCGGGAAGCAACCCAAATGTTCTACCAGTGAGGAAGTGGTTAAATAATTCACGGTATATACACAATGGAATACCAGAGGCATTAAGGAGAACGAGGGAGATATATGCACAGAAAGATATTTGAAAAGTTACAGCAATATAAAAGTTATACAAGTATGTTCTGCTATATCCCATTTGGATCGTCTTAAAAGGGATCTTATTTTTCTTGAAGAAAACACAATAAACTTAACAGTGGTTACCTCTGGGGAGTAGAACTGACCCATTGAGAATGGAAAGGAATTTTAATAATACCCTGTATTGTTTGAGTTTTTTTAACTATGAGAATTTATTACTTTTATAATAAAAAGTAATTAGTAATAAAATGGATATATCTTCTGGAGTTATAATGGTGGAGAGAGCAGTTCCAAGAACCACTAGAATGTTCCAAGGTGGTTCCAATTTTTTCCTTTTGAGGCAAACACTGTTAGAACATCTTCCGTGAAATGCTATTTTTTTTTTAGGAAGTTAAAAATGTAAATTAAAGAAAATATTTATACCACACTTACATAATATAAACATTCATAGAAATAAAAAAAAGAAAAAAAGTTCAAGGGAAGTGCTTAGAGAGTAAAACGTTGGACTTATCCAGCACGCAGAATCAAGCACAGATATTGTAAGAAGGTGACTTTACTTTTTCCAGATGTTTTGTTAAGTGATGCCGTCTCCCCGGGGCTCATTCTGCCCGGATTGTTGCCAAAAATGGACTTCCTGCTTTTCCTTTCTTTTCCTCTGCTAGAGCCAGATGCATTTAGAGTTGACAGGCCTGTTCCCATAAAATGAAAATAAATAAGCCAAAAACTACAAGCGAGGGAACTCAACATTTTCCATCCCTGTTAATGTTTACTTTGAAGTCCTACTACTCCCTTATGACCCAGCACAGAAGACCTACTAGCATTTTCAGCATTGTTAATAATAGTATTGTAGGCAGTTAGAGCAGAGTTTTTACCTCTGTAGGCAAATGTGACAAAAACTGCAGGATTACTACAGAATAACCACAAAATCGCACCCACGCCTACTTGATGGTGCACCAGAAAGATTTTGGAAAATTGAATAAAAAGAAAGTGCTCCAGTCAACACTGAATTATCAGGACCGAATTACTCAATTTGGAGATTTGAAAGAATGGTCCAGAGCCTGAGGCTTAGCATCATAGTGTCTAGCTTGAATTCCCGCCAGTATGAGCCTTGACTTAACTCGACCTTCTCTGGTCCTCAGTTTCCTTATCGATAAAATAGGTGTAATGATAGGAGCTCACAGGCTCAGTCTGAGGATTAAATGGGAAATATGTTTGAAGATAGTGAGGTCTCATGGCCTCTTTTTCTCACTCCTGATCCAGCCACTCCCTGGGTCCTTCCTGCCTGGCACCGGGCCTGGTGTGCAGCAGCAATTTAACAGATATTTGCTGAACAAGGAAATGAATGCACACGCGTGGACCTGGATCCGGTGCAGGAGTGAGTTAAAGGCACCGGTGAAGCCAGAGCTGCCTCCAAACTGTGTCCACTGTCTACAATTGTACCATTAGAAGTAATTTCTTCAGCTGGAGCACAGCTGAAGGGGGTCTTCTTGAGATGAGAACAGACCTTCCAAAAACATCATCAGAGAAGACAGGGATAAAGTCGTGTTTAATAAAAGCATAGACTTTGGGGTTTAAATCCAGTTCCCAGTCTTGTGACCTCACACAAGCTACTTAACCCCTCTGCACCACTCCTTCCTCACCTGTAAAAGGCTTTTGTTAAATGAGATAATACACACACACACACACACACACACATGGGTATCTTGTTCAGAGAAAAAAGTGGTCAGTTCATAGCAGCTGTGGGGCTTCTAAATTTTTCTCTCTGAAGTATCCGTAACTGCAAAGATGCACAAACTTGGAGTAGTGAGTTCTCATGCTTTATCTTAACATTTTGTGACTTCTGCCCTCTGCACAATGATGTAACAGTAGATTTTCTCTCAAGTAAAACTGGTGAGGGGCCAGAGTGAGGCACCGTGTTCACTCTGGGGCTTTTGCACGCGCCCTGGCACATGTAGGCGCCCCCCAGGGACATGTGGGACCTTAGGTGAACAGCCCGGCTGCTCTCTCGGGGGGGGGGGCAAGGAAGTAGGAACAAGGGCTGGGTGACCGCGAAAGGGGAGGAATCTGCCCCGTGGGCCCATTTACCAATAAGAACAGCGACAACCACCGTTTCCAGAGAGCCAGCTATTTGTAGATAGTGTGCTAGTCACATTATATACTTTAGTGTCAATTTTTACAACAACCCTGCAAGTTAGGACTGTTCTGTCCCTTTTATAGATAAGGACTCTGGAGTGCAGAAGAGTTAACGAACTGTGCTAGCCAAGGTCACAGGGGAGCGGAGTCCCCCCGCCGCAGGGGTTCCTGGGGTTGGGGCGGCTACTGCGCTTGTGGGGAAGGTTGTACCGCGTGGTCTTCTTGCCGCCTCACTGCTCTGAGGACTTTTCTGCACATGGCTCCTTGGAAGGGGCGTGGGACGGCGAAGCGTGCAATGCATTGAGATGGATAGTGTAACCAATAGTGTAGCAAAATGAATATTTTATGGTGTTTTTCCTCAGAGCATCGAAACAAATTATAATCCCAACAAATATGTAGAAGATATTCTAACAATGATTCTGGCAACACCATTTAGCTATTTTGAGACAGGAAATAAATTAGGGGAAAGAAAAAACGTACAAAACTCCCATTACTAAAAAAAATTAAAATATAGTATATCTATAAGGAATGTGTTTATATCTATAAACACTTCAAAAGGACAGCATATTGGGAATTTTGAAAATCAGCCAAATAACGCCATGCTCAACCTTTGCCTCTAGTCAGAAGCTGGGCCGAAGGACCTTTTGACTCCTCCACAAATTCGGGAATTTGTGCTCTTTATTTGCCCACAGAATGGTTTGGGTACAGTGTCAGCTGGATTTATAAAGAACAGGAGAGGCAGTGAGTGTGATTCTTGAATGAAGCGACCTTCACACTTCTCCCTATGGTGAAGGCCACACAGGCCACGAGGCTCTTTAGACAGGAAAAGATTTTTCCTCATCGTAAGGACAATTTCACCAGCCACAAATACGATTGCATTGTACGTATGTGAAAGTCATGGTCTGTGAAACTACACCTAACCGGCTAGGTCCCTGCACGTGTTTGAAATCTTCGCTTACTACTTATTCATTCAGATCTCCCTCAACAGAATCTGCCAACAGATAAGCAGCAGCTGCTGCCAAAAATTCCAAACAGTTTATGGGAGAAAGCTTAAAATTGAGGAAATTCTGTTTATGATTTTTTTTTCCCCCTTCTGGCGTGCAAAAAGACCACTTTTATCTAATCTTTAAATAGCCCAATACCTTTGTCTCAGTTTCAGGGCAGAGAGTGAGAACTGGTGCTTAAGAGAAACCTCTGGAAGCTGGGATCTGCGTTCAGACCATGTTGGAAAAGACGAGGGTTGGTCTTTTAACTCCCTCTCCAGGCCGAGTTTATATACCTCGTTTGCCAACGTTTAGACAATCTCCCAATCCAGCGGCTGTCCTGTCCTCAGACATCTTGTGTAAGGGAATCCTTTTTCTTAGTGTGAGGAGGTGACTTTTTCTGACTTCCACATATATAAATACGGACTTCCCTGTTGCCCTCCACCTCCAGCTGTCCCCTTTGTGGGACGCACAATTGGGTGACCTCACACACCCTGACCGGCGAGGTGAGGTAGAGCAATGGGATAGACAGGCTTCAGGATCACAGTTCTGCCACTTATTAACTGAAACAAACCTTTTTTTGGGAAGTGGTTTATCAGCACTGTACTTCCAGATACGGTCAACTGGGGGGAAATCTTTTCTCCCACTGAAACCCTGACCTTGGTCCTTGTGGTTTGGGCGGAGTCTTGCCACCCAGCTCAGGGATGGGGCAGGTGACCTAGGCCCTAGACTATCAGAGTTCTGCCTGCCCTTGGCCACAGTGACTGGTTCAGGGATGGGCAAAAGGGCACAATGGAAACCAATCAAACTGCTGTTGAAAGCACTGGAATGGCTTCTGCACTGAAGCTGAGCCTGGAAGCACGAGGTGCCAGCCTGCTGCTTCTGCCTCACAGCCGCAAAGGGAACAGGACCAGCACAGGGCAGACAGGGAGGGAGCCCTGGATCAAGCCAAACCTGAAACTTCTGTATCCCTTCATTTTTCAAAACAAGAGCCAGTAAGTTTCCTCTTTGCTTAAGGCCATTTCTGCCACTTTCAAACAAAAGAGTCTTTAACTGATCCTTCTGAAACCTAGGGCCAGCTCCTTTATCTCTCTCAGACTTTATTTAAAAATGGGGAATAAATTCAGTACCTCATGCAATTATGATGAAGGCNCTTCTGAAACCTAGGGCCAGCTCCTTTATCTCTCTCAGACTTTGTTTCATTTAAAAATGGGGAATAAATTCAGTACCTCATGCAATTATGATGAAGGCAATAAGATGGTGTCTGTAAAATACACACACAAATCCTGGTACTTAACTGTTTCATAAATTTCAGCTCCTAGATGCTGTGAATGTTATTATTATCATTATTAACTGTTATGAAGACATAATATGATTTGAAAAATAAATATTTTAAGGCATTTTCCACAAGAGCACCCCAGTAAATTATAATAATAACAACAAATATTTAGGATGTATTTTAACGATGATTTCAGCAACACAATTTAGCTATTTTGAGCGTATTCACAATACTCAAATAAATAGTATCTTCTTATCTTTTGGCATCTTCAAATGTTTTAGATGGTTTTTCCTACTCTTACCTGGAAATTTTACCGCTTGGCAATAGATGACAAGGTCGGAAAGCTCTGGCGCAATCTGTCTGCTTTCCTTTTTATTCTGAGGAAGATAAAATTCTTCTCCCAACTCCATGTCATACACCTATCGAGGGAAAAAGCGTACCAGTTGACATGGAAGGGTATCCACCACCCAACAGCTCTTCATCTGTCCCCTTCTTGTGTGACCAGTGTTTCACCTTGCTCTGTATCCACCCCTACATCCTAACACCTTTCCTAGAGTGAAAATATTCTGAGAGCAAGAACTGAGTCTACCTCACGGGTGCAGGCCAGTGTTGTAACTGTGGAGCAGTCAGTGCACATTTGCTGAGTGAATAGGTCATCGAGTAGGTATCTTCCGTGGCTCACATTTCTGACATCTTTTAATATTCTGTTCTCTAACAATCTCACTGCAACTATGTCTACAGATTTGCTCAGAGCCTACGTACTGTGAGGCACTCGAGGGCAGGGTCTGGGTACCTCATTCACCCTTCTAGCCTCAGCGTCCTTCCTCCGTTAACACTTCACGATCTGGCCCCATTCATCTTCTTGGTCACCCCCAACGTCTTTGAAACTCCTAGCAGTTCCTTGAAGGTCCCCACTGTCCTCTTGGCCTGCATGCCCTGTTTCTGTCTGCTTGGCCAGATCTTCCTTCTTCATGCTCTGGTAACGCTACGTAATCACTGCTCTTTCTATTTATCTACAAGCACTGTTTACAGGTTGGTCTCCAGCACTAAACCACCTCCTTCTGCCACCTTCAGTAGGTACTGGTTGGATGAATCCGTGACTAACCTTCTACAAATGGCAGGTGGGTGTCCCATAGCATCACCATGTGGGCTTTGGCATCTAAGGGAAAGTGAGGGGAAAGGTGATGGGAAGGGGTAGGGAGGGAGTGAAATCCCACCTGCAACTGACGAGAGCACCACGGGTCCAAGTGCAATTGAACAGAAACCAGTCACCCACCTTTCCTTTGTTGCAAGCAGAGTTATCTGCTTTCTTTATCCTTTTGGGGATTTCCTCAGTATACTCAAACTGAAGTTTGTCATTGCATGACTTGTTTTCAGGTCTGTCTTCTAGAATGTTGTCTGAAAACGAGGTGGCAGGCTTCAGCAAACAAGAACCAAACGCTTCCCTCAAGGGCTACGTCTACATCATTGCCGGGGTACCCAGACACCTGTGCCTGTCGTAAGACGAGGCTGGCTACATGCTACCAAAATGATGGCTTGAGGTGTAATTTTTAAATTTGTTAAACAATGTGTTTATTTTTGATCGAATGGATTCATTGCCAGTAGTTTTGGCACCATAAGACCTCATCTAAATAAGGAGGTTCATTTGCATGTAGACAATTGGAACACGGGTTTAATTGTTGTAGATCCTAAATGTTAGTGCTGGAAGATGGGAGAACATCAGTCAACACGTAACAGAACCTTTTCATTACACATCTGAGGGCCTAGACATTGTCCTTGGGTGGAAGGACATTGCCCAAGTCTCACAGTCCATTGGGGCAGAACTTGGTGGGGCCCACTTTTTGTGTATACCCCACCCCAGCACATGTGGGTTTTAAAAAGCACTCAACTATTGTAGAAATTCAGTGGGGAAGGGTTTAAATTTTACTCTCCTGAAAATACAGGCATACCTCATTTTATTGTACTTTACTGATGTTACATTTTTTTTTTTTTTACAAATTGCATTTTATACAAGATCCTCCACCAGCAAAAAGATTATGACTCGCTTTATTGCAGTGATCTGGCATCCAACCTGCAATGTCTCCCAGGTATGGCTGTACATCAGGAAGATCCTTCCCCTACCTGTTCATTTTGTTATTTAAATATCAAAAACACCTATAATAATAATACTAATAACTAAGAAAAGCCATCTCCTTTCTTGTTACCAAAGTACAGAAAAACACACAGGATGATTTATGAGAGTGAATTTATCTTCCAGTGCACTAACTTCTTGCAGAAGGAAATGACATCTGTACCAGTTGATATCTTAAATGTGGTTTTCATTTCTTATCTGAATAAATTTGTTCTTCTATGGGAAAACATCACTATGACTGTTGTAGGGACCCACGGGAAAGAACAAGTCAATATACAAATATTTGTATTCCCACAACTTTTCAGAAATAAAATACAAGAATTATCTTGACCCCTTTTCATTTTCTCCCTCTTTTGACCTCCCCATTAAAGAATATGCCCCTTGTATTATCTGATGGGGTTTCAGGTCAAGTACATTGGTTTTTAGATGATGCTATGAAGCAATAAACTGTTAAGAATAAATATTAAATGGATATAACAATCCCACTTCTAAATATCTATCTGAAGAAAACAAAAACAATAATTCAAAAGGTACATGCATCCCTACATTCATTACCGCATTATTCACAAGAGCCGAGCTGTGAAAGCTGAGCCATCTAACTGTCCGTGGGTAGATGAATGGATAAAAAAGAGTGGGTGCACATTACACAACAAAATATTACTCGGTCATAAAAAAGAATGAAACCTTGCCATTGGTGGCAACATGGATGGAACTAGAGAGTACTGTGCTAAGTGAAATAAGTCAGACAGAGAAAGACAAATACCACATGATTTCACTTATATGTGAAATCTAAAAAACATATACAACAAATAAAACAAAACAGATACAGACTCATAGACAAAGAGAACAAATGGATGGTTGCCAGAAGGGAGGGGCATGGGGGATGAGGGAAATGGGGGAATAAGAGGGGCAAACCTCCATGTATATAAAAAAATAATCACGGGAATGTTATGTACAGGACAGAAAAAATCGTCAATATTTTCTAACTTTGTATGGTGACAGACCATTACTGGACTTCTTGCGGTGATCACATAAGGAACATAAATGTTGAGTCACTATATTGCTTACCTGAAACTACTATAATATTGTATGTCAACTATACTTTAATTTAAAAAATGGAGAGACTAGTATTGTATTTGGGGGGGGCACAAAGAGACTGGACTGTAACCCCTGGCCATGATGGAGGTTCATGATGCCAAACATGACTAGGGGACAGTTCTGCTGTGCGAGAAGCAGATATTTGGAGGGCAGCTTGCTGTCTTAATCCCAGTGGTAAGAGGTCGCTGGTCTGTGCTTATCTGCATATTAGCAAAACAATTACCCAACAGAGAAGTAATGTATTCTACATATTCAGGGTGGGGCAAAAGTAGGTCTACAGTTGTGAGTACATGAAACAGTTTATTCTTGTATTTTTGTTTATCAATGATTGTATTATTTGCCATATGAACTGTAGACCTACTTTTGCCCTACCCTGTATAATGTTTACGTAAATAGGAACTTTGGCATATTTTCTTTACTACACTGTTGTCTTTCAGAAGTTGCCAAAGTAAAACAGTCTACCATCAGCAATGGTACCTGAGAAAACATTTTGCAATCTATAACAAATCACACTAATTTAGTGCAAACAAAATGCATCTCAAGTTTAATTCTCATGTAAGAAGAATCCTTCACCTGTAATCAATCTCGAGAGAACATCATTTATGTGAATTTTTTGGATTGCACCATCAGCCATTACCCATCTTTTGTTCCTTCCGTGGAGCCAGAAGAAAATGTCTCCTTGGCTTAGTAATGTGAGAAGGGGGATAGTGGGGTAGGGAAACGATGCCTCTTTCTTTTCCATACCCCTAGAAAGCCCGTGTGAACGATGTAAAAGGGAGGGACAGACAGTGCAGAAACGTGATGCTGCCCCCTGCAGGTGGTGCAGGAGACAGCAAAGATTCAGCCACAGCCTACACTTCCAGCTTAGAGCATCGGTCAAGCCAGAAACTGAAACCTACTTAGGAATGACCCCTCTGTGGCTTCCCACACCTTCCTCTTCTTCCCCTGAGTGATGGCTGAAGCGGCCAACTTGGTCCTTCTAAGTGATAGGATTCAGAAACTCTTGGATAATATATTACAACTATCTGTATTGTTGATCTATGGAGTGCCAGGCTTATATATATATATATTTTTTTTTGGGGGGGGGGGAAGACACCAAAAAACCCCAACAGGAAATCCAGGCACTTCCCTGCACCAAGCATAGGGCCTGCCTCTCTTACCGTCCGACAGGGACTCATAGTCATAATCATACTCGTCTTCTTCATCTTCTTCCTCCTCGTTATTAGCAGGTGGGGGGTTGGCATTCCCACCATTGTAAGCCTGAGCTTGCATGGATGCTAACTGGTGAGCCTGTAAGAGATCAATAATTAAAGACTGATGAGCCTGTAAGATATCAATAATTAAGGACTGCAGATGCTAAGCTAGTGAATGTACATTTATAGCTTTCAAAATGACCATCTTATGCTTAAGACAGCTATTAAACGTGGCTTATCCTATTTTGAATCATTTGGGAAAGGAAATAAAAATCTAAATTCACTTGAAGGTCAAGGTTAATCACTGGGTAAATGTTAACATCTCTGCAAGAGGACTCCTGGAGCTTTAAGGAAAAATCCCAAGGAATAGTGGTTCGCTGAGGCAAACCCTCCAGGAGAAACCTTGGTGCTTCAGACTCAAATGGTGAAGTGAACCTACCCATCAATTTTGGGAAAGTAAATCTCTGCTAAGAAACCATTTTTCTTTTTCCTTCTTAAATAATATCTTAAAGGCCTTTGACCTTGAGAAAAATATTAGAATCCTTGTGGATGAAGAGACCAAAAGAATAGTTGCTGGTTTAAATAAAGTTTTTTTCAGCAGACTTTATCTGAACCATCAATCAGATTAACAAAATAGACTTAGAAACTTTAAAAATTTTGATATGTGCTGCTATATTCGACTAGAATTACCGTGTGGGGATATCACAGGACACAAGAATAAATATAGGTCTGGGCACCTAGCATAAGGAAATAATCCGAAATACAGGAAAAGTTACGTGTATGTGTATATAATATACAACGGTTGGCAAAAGTAGGTTTACAGTTGCATTGTGACATTCTTTTGAATTAATAAAGCTATCGTAATAATCATAATCTGCATGTCTTTTTCCATACGAACATCTATAAACCTACTTTTGCCCACCTTGTACAGTTCTATATCCTCTGTTCAATATCTATATATCTCTGGTCATGATATAAAATGACATGCACAAAAGGCTAACTATTAAATATAAGTATAGCAGGATTCTTGACCTGTTTTTGTGGCACAGGCTCCTCTAGCAGTCTGGTAAGGTAGGACCCCTTCTCAGAATGACACTTTAAATGCATAAAATCAAATATAAGATTACAAAGGAAAAAAGAATGTTGAATACAGTTATCAAATGTTGAAAAAACAAATTTGTGCCCTAGGAATATGTGTTTCTTTATTAACACAATAAAAGCATATATAATGGTAGGCTAAATAATGTTTTTGAAATAGTGATGAGCATACATAATTCTTGGAGATATTAGCAACAGCTGTGATATAACATGAAAAACCTGTGATTTCAATTGGTGACAAGGACATAGGTACTGCCAATGTCACTGTGGCTTTTTCCCTACATTTATAGTCTGAGGAAATGCTTAATTTCAGCTAAAGGTCAGTGAAAATGAAGGTGTAATTTAAAAAAAAATCTAAGCTCGATGACCCCCTGAATTCTATTTCTAGATATTAATTACCAAGCTTAAGAATCCCTGTAATACAGGTTGTTTTGGGCCTTGGAATTATGTATATTTTAAAATGATTTCTAGTCCCTAAACTTCTTGAATTGTGGTTATATGACCTTTATAATAAACATGTATACATAAGGAAGATATAGTTTAGGCTATGTGTGTGTGTGTGTGTGTGTGTGTGTGTGTGTATCTCCATTCTGGATAACTGAACATGGTCTAGGCTGGGACTTCTCAAAGTGGGTTTTGTGGAACACTAGCTGTTATGTAAAAACTGATGGTTACAGTAACCACAAAACACAATGGTAGTTTGGAAACAGCTGCTTAAACAAACTGAAACACATTCCTACTAAGGAGCTTCACATGGCCTTTACTTAACATGCTAAAGGGCATCATGCCTCATCAGAGATTTCCAGTACAGCATTTCCCATGATTATTTAATCGAAGAATTTTAACTCTCTTTTCAGTGTCTCATAGGATTAGCGTTCTTTAAAGCTTTGGGGAATCTTCTCTAGACACAAGTCAGCCTTAGATGCTGAGATACTTCCACCAGTGCAAGAAGTATGGGAGAGGCGCCCAAATGGACAGTCAAGAGAGCTGACAGCCCTATTCTTTGCAATATCCTACTTATTCCGAGGCAGAAAAACGGGGCCCTAGCCCTTGAATAAAAGCAATTCAGATAGAGGTCAGGGGGTTAGAGTGAGGCGTCAGAAGAGGAGATGGGTTTTGGCAGGAGCCACGTCGTACTTTGCTCTGTTCCCCCAGAGCCTAGCACAGTGACTGTCATCTAGTGTGAACTAGCAGGTCAGAGTTCAGGAGACCAAGGTCAGAATATAGAAGATCTGGTGGGGTGTTGTTAATGGGACTCAGTAAGAGCCTCAGCAAGAGCTTGAGGCAGATGGAGGGCTTCAGAAGTTCCACTCTGAGTCAGTCCATGCTTCCGAAGGGTAAGTTCCCTGTATGGAAATGACCTAGGCTTTCTGAGTTAGGGGCTGGGTCTGTGCACACTGGAGCTCTGGGCATTCATTCACCCAGCCTGGTGTGAACACAGATGACCAGGTCCACACCCACAACCTGCCAGACAGCTGAAAGTCTTCGCAGATATGATTGTCAACAATCCCTGGGAAACCAGGGTGGAATGACCTTGAAAAAGTGGAAATGGGATTACATTGTCCCATTTTTCCAAAAGTTGTGGAAATTACAGTTGTGGAAATTATTTGTTAAGTTACCTGACAAATTTCAGAATGGATTGCTCATTAGTTGGTGTGAGAACACAGAAAATAAAGAAGTGGTTAGGAAAAGTTGGCATGTTTTTTGTTTTCTTTAAATATATTTTTATTGATTTCAGAGAGAGGAAGGGAGAGGGAGAGATAGATAGAAACATCAATGATGAGAGAGTCACTGATCGGCTGCCTCCTGCATGCCCCTTGCTGGGGATCGAGCTCACATTCTGGGCATGTGCCCTGACTGGGAATCGAACCACGATCTCCTGGATCACATGGGTTGATGCTCAACGGCTGAGCCATGCTGGCTGGGTGAGTTAGTGTGGTTTTACTAACAAATTCCCCACACGGTAACCTCCTCAGGATTTTTGGATAAGGTAACTCACTTTGTGGGAAATTACAGATAAGCGACATTTCCAAACTTCCAGGATGATAAGAATTACTTTTAAATAAACAGATTATGAGGCTTTCCTTGAAAATTCTGAGTTCACTGGGCAGATTTGGGACCTAAGAATCTGTCTTTAAAAGTGTTCCAGTGATTCTCATCTATGTGTTCTGACTTCTGTGTTGCATTTGAAAAGGTCTCTCCTGAGGACCTGGATCTGAATTCCAGCTCTGCCACTAGGAGCTGTGTGGCATTGAGAAAGTCACATAAATGGCTAGGCAGGCCCCAGCTTTCTCTTCTATAAATAAAGAAGTTGAAGGCGACTGAAGAAATATGGGCTGCAAGAAAGGAGAGCACCAGCCAGGAGTGCTAGGCACTAAACTCCAGGGAGGTTCTGTGAGAAGGGCGGCAGGCTCTCTACTTAGCTGTCTGGCTCAAGGGCAACCTGGGATGAAGGCACAGTTTGAAACACTGCCAATAAATACACTGGCAGATGTCGAAATTCACAAAGAACCTTGTATGCTGCAATAACACACCAAAAGCAAGAGTTTAACAGAGATAAATATGAGGCTCCTGCACATGAAAGGTTAAAATTAACCGTAAACTTGGAAAAATGGGGAGACTAGGCACAAGAACAGTCCCTGTGAAAATAACTGAACTCTTTGTTTTCCACAAACTCAACATGAGCCTAGTGTGCATTAAGAAATTTTAAAAGCGAGAATAGTTCTAGGCTACATTAACGAGGTATAACGTTCCAGTGACGAGGGGTGGTGGTTTCACTGTCCTCATGCAGTTAGAGCAATTCTGGAAATCACGTTTTCAGACTGGCAAATTCAAGAATGTCCACAAATTTAAGACTATCCAAAATATTCTTAATGAAAAGTGAAGAGTCTTAGCAGCCATATCCTGTGGGGAACAGTTGACACAAGAATGTTTAGCTTGGAGAAGAGAAAAGCTGGTGGGGAGACACATGCTAGCTTTCTAGATACGCAATTAGTCTGTGCAGCTGCAGAGGGAGGACGTGCTGCCAGAGAGTAGGAGGAACAGGAAGGAGGATTTGGGGTCCACACGGGGAAGGCATCTGTCACAGCACAGTCTGTTCATCAGTGGGATGGACGCTGCAGAAGTAACTGCAGACAACCGTGTGCAGGGTGGGAAAGGCAACGGCTTCAAGGACATTCAAACGCACCTTGAAGACCACAGAGGTAAGCACAGGGCAGCTGCGTCTGTTTGGCAGGGAGAAGCGGTGGCCGGGGAAAGAAAACAGCACAGAGGAACAGTGTTGTAGAAGAAAGAGCCCCCAGCGTGGGCAGTGAGTGAGTGAGGCAGCATTTGAGGTATCAGAGAACACAGGCTAATATTATACAGTTGACCCTTCAACAACGCGGAGGGTGCTGATTTCCCATACAGTTGAAATATGAGTACAACTTTTGACTTTCCAAAAATGTAACCATAAATCGCCTACCGTCGACAGAAGCCTTGCCAATAACATAAATAACCGATTACCCATAACCTCTTTAACAAGAGGAGAGTACCTTTTGCTTTAAGATATCCACTGGTGTCTGATGGGCTTTTAGCTTCTTATTTTTAAGAAGCACCTTCCTTCTAAGTTGGTCAGGTGAAGGAAGCATCGGATCATCTGAGAAATCACTCTCAAATAAGAATTTAGCCACCAGTTTTTCTCCAAACACAGTCTAAAAAGAATAAATAAAAATACATAATCAATGCCTTTTGCCTATACTTAAATTATTTCAGCCCAGTTGAACTGTTTATAAAATCCCAGGGAAGATGTGTCTCCCCCTCCCCCAATAGTTTCATACTGGGAGGAAGGGTGGTGGTTGAAAGGAAAGGAGGAGAGTCCAGGCCATTCTCTGCATGGGGCCAGCTCTGACTCTTTAGGAAAATGCTCTGGGGTCTGATGTAGTAAATAAGAAAACAGAGATTTAGTTAGAGGCTGTGGTTTGTTGCATATGGCCTGTTGCAGATGTAGGTAAGAAGTCAAAAGGATAGAAACCTGGAAGTAGGTAGGGAGTAGGGACAAAGATGTTTCCACAAATGTCTCTATCAGTGGAGGTAGGGGAAAGTATCATGGAATATTTGCCCCTAAATCTGCATCGTAGTTTCCTTGTATAAGGAAGGGCTGAATGTTAACATGGCAACTGTTGCGGCCACTCTGAGTTCTTTGCCAACTTGGATCCCAGTATCTGTGGTGTGGGCCACAGGAAGATTTGACATATTTGCCCTCAGATATTTTCAGCTTTTCCATAAACAATGACAGGGAACATCCTGGCATCTCTGACTTGTGGTTCCAGAAGCACTGGAGAGGTGGCCTTTTCTTACCTCCAAAGGAGACCACAGAACAATGCTTCGCTACTCCAGCTCAAAAGATGGACCACCCTGGAGAAAGCCCAAGCTTCCAGGGCACCCCCATTTCTCAGGCCTGAGAAACCCTAATTGTACATGCTTCATGGTTGGTGTCCAGCTGTGGTGTGGTCCACAGTGGATCCATATAAAACTCAACAGCAATGGCAAAACAAAGGCCAAGATACCATCCTGCCTCTTAGTTAAAAGCATACCTTGAAAATTTCTGCCATTTTTCGTTGCTGAGGCAATGAACAGTGGTTCTCAATTGATATGATGATTGGCAGGTCAGAGTTGATGAAGGCACTGCGATCAATGGCTTCAACCACTTCCTATGAGAGACGAAACCGCTCATTAGAGTCTGTCTTATTAGATATCTCCTAAGGTATCTGTCTAGGATGTCAGAAGGCAAGGTACTTACAGCCACAAAAAGCGTCTAAATTATTGATTTCAGAAGGCTCTGGCCAAAGTGGTTTTTATGTTTTCAAATGTATTTTCAACTTAAAGCAAGAGGATAAGGCTATTTTCTACAAAGACATTAAACTGATCATATTGAGTTTTGTTCACATACTATGAGGAACAGCTATCAGTATGCTGAATTTAACAAATCAATATATGTATACTGTGTATACTGTAGGTAAAATACACTGTTTTAGTTATAGCATCAAAAATAGTAGGCATGGGATACTCTCCTGCTCCCAAGGAGTTTACAATCTACTTGGGGCAATAAGACACACACCACACATATTTATGTGTGTATATAAACACAGTGATCAACTCCTCATCCCTCAGTGTGAAGCAGAAGAGTTTTATGAGGGCTGAATAGGAAAATAAATTAAAAAGAAAATGCATCTGAGCCATCATCTCCACATGTGACAGAAATAATAATATTCTTTCCCAGACAAGCCACAGTTCAGAGAAAAATAATGTTACACAGCCAGACCCTCTGAATGAGGATAGTAACTACACAATGAACTAATAAAATACTTAGAATTTGAAATAATAATCCAATGAGACCAGTCTACTTGGGTGACCAACTCCCCAAGTGGAACCAATTCTCATTATTTTATAATGTTAATTATTGAATCACTTCCTAACATATGATGTTGGCCTCCCTTAGCAGGACACCAGGACAAATGACCTTTAATTCCTATAGCAAAGGAACAACCCCTGAATTTTGTATATCATTTGATGTAAAAATTACAATGATGCTTATTGTGAGAGAACTAATTTAAGGTAATGGTAACTAAACTTTGGCTGAATGAGAATCTAATAAGGGTTCTAGATCAACTCCCAGAAAAAAGAACATGTGTGCAGCCTATAAAACATTGTAAACAATTCTGTGGAGTCTTCAGAGCAAGGATCTGGATCTAATGTATAATTTGGTAGAGTCACTGATTTAAATGAAGATAATGACTCTGATTTGATTTAAAGGAAGTTATGAAGCATTACCTTGAAGGGGATCTTGGTTGTCAGTGTATGTCCATGATAAATGATGGGCATCCCGTCATCTCCATCCCAGCAGTCCAACTCTACGCTCCTACAGCCTTGCAGGAGGACCTGTGTGATCAATAAAAAATTCCACCCCAGATGAGAGAATGGAGAATACGCCTCAAGTTAACCCCAGTGCATGATTCTATATATCAGTGTTCACATTCAGGGCTAAAGCAGAAGGGCATGCGATCTAAAATAAACACTGCATCTTGGCCAGTGGCCACAATTAATCAGGGGTGGGGAAGGCAGAGGACAGATTAAGGTGGAAAGAGTGCTTGCCAGAGCTGAATACCACTGGAAAGTAAAATTTGATAGCAAAAACATTTGACCATTTTCCCAGCAACTTTAGTTTCTCAAGGGACCTAGATATACATGGCACATGCTGAAATGAGAGAACCAGGCTGGTGTTCTATCTAGGCAGATGTCAGTGGAGGTGATGCCACAGCCCAGAGGAAGTGAGGTCACTGATTCCTTAATTAACTGTCCAAACAGTTATAGGAAGCCAATCAGGACAAAATCTCCATTCAGATCCAAATTCCGCCACTGGCTAATACATCTGCTATGAACATGTAGCATGTAAGAAGGGTACAAGCAAGGGGTTATCAAGGATTTGCCTTGCTGTCTAATCTAGAGCTGAGATGGCAAAAAATCCATAGTCGCCTCTCCCATATCTTTAGCAGACATCAGTAATCAATCAGAGCACACTTGCTCCCTAAGCTTTGATGTTATTTCACAACCTCTTCAGCAAAGTGCTCCAGGAAATACTACCAATGAATCAGACGAGATGATACCTCTTTGCTATCCTGGACTCGGAGCTGGAAGCACAGCTCCTGACACGGGTGTGTGTATGTGCTGCAGCTCTGTAACATTCGCTTGAAGCAAACTCTTCCTCCATAGGATCCATTTGTAGACTATCTTTTAAGATAGTCTTGAAAGGGTATTGAAAGGGAAACCCAGGCCAAAAGCAGGATATATCTGCAAATGCGCCAAGCCACGCATGTAAGAATCCACAGAATTATTACCATGTGACAGCACTCCAATACTGGGGCTAGTGGCCACTAGAGTTGCTGCAACAAGACTCAGATAGTGGAGTCTGTCTTATTTTAATATTTTTGTACGAAATATTTTCTAGATTCTTCCCATTGCACAACATGCAGCTCTCAGTCTTCCTGGGTGACCCATCTTCCCAGGTGGAACCTATTCTGTGGCCTGAATCCCAAGGCTCTCAGATTCTTCCTGCAGCTAGAGTTTCCAGAGGTGCATTGTTTGGGCTGAAAACTGTTGTGTAATATGACAACCTCATCTCTGTGGTGTGCTTGTCACGCTAGGAAGAACTTTTACCACCTCAAAGCAGATGGGAAGATTTTTAGCATGAAAAGAATAATGCTCTTTATCACAGTTTGCATGACCTTAAGCCCTCCATTTATGGCTAGAAAAGGAAAACCAGAGCTGGAGATTCCAGGGGAAAACAGGGCTTTTGATCAGTTCTCATCTGTCCCATAGAGTAACACTAGGAGGTAGTTAGAATGCCTGAGAGAGTGGTAAGCTATAAAATTAACGGAAGATTCATACTAGGTTTAATCATCTCTGAGTCTATTTGAGGGGCCTCTGTGCCTTAGTCAAAATCGGTGACAACCTCACTTGGGGTGTAATGTTAAGGAGTTAAAAAAACCTCTTTGAAATCAAATAGGGAAGTGAAGTAGGAATAAAAGCTAGGACACTGTTCTGTGCTTATTTTCCTAGGAGAAATATTATCTCTCTTCATTCCCCCCCAACCCCCAGAACAAACTTTTTAACCATGGAATTCTCTGTGCAAATGCAGGGCCAATATATGCAGCACATCAACCAGGACCCCAGCTGCAGGGGGCAGGTACGGAACCCTTCCTGCTCCACCGCTTGCTCATCTCGGTGTCTGCAGCTGAGGCTCCCTGACAGCTCTCCTGTTTTGAAAATCATTAGTTTAAGGACATGTCTTCATTTCATAACAAGAGTCGCTTAGATTTTAGAGTTTAGAACACATATTTTATTCTAGATAAACTTTGGGACAGAAGTTTGACCCCTGCTTTGAGGAACATCTGAACTGATCTGGAGAACAAAGGAACCTCGGGTTGTGGGTTTTGTAAACAATACAACAGCAATGTTCACACCTGGACTCCCCCCTCCACACACATGCTCAGTCATACACTTGTATTCCCTGGACCTAACCTAGCTCCTTCATGATTGATTACCTCTTCTTGTAGGAGCTCAGAAAACAGGCGGCAGACACTAGGAAGTTGCAGAAAATACAACAGGGAGGCAACTGACACACAGATCATTAGTTGGATGTTTAGATCAAAAGGATGTGCTTTTTTCTAGTCCAGAGAACCTACTGAGTTTCCCAGAACATGCCCATGAATTAAGTGTATAGGGACCGTGCCTACAGTCTATGCAGATCTTTTTTTCTTAAATTGGTTACCATAGGGATGAACTGATTGTCTAACACATTGCAAAGCAAAACAACCAATACTTTGCGAATAACATCATACATAGAGAGTCGCATTTTCTATTATGCTTTCCCACTACAATATATTGATTTATTTAGCATTTAGGGAAACGATTAGATAACTTTCCCATGGGAAAGTCTAATTTTAGTAGGAGTAGGTCAGACTAACTAGGGTCTAAAAGCTATGAGTCTCAAACAAATACTTTTTTTTCTTCATTGCTCAGAATAAAGGTTAAGTATAGACGGGGCGGGGGGGGG